GCTGATTGCTTCCAACCAACATTAATTATAATAATACTGAATGTTCAGTCACGGTGTCATGGATTGATTTATTATAGCTCGCGGATTGGTTGGGAAGAAGGATGAAACTTATTATTATGTAGGACGACATTGACTGAGAACCGAAGGCCGTAAGTTAAACCCTGGGCCCTTCGAATCAGAGTCTAATCAGCAGCAGCCTTGACCTGACCTGTGCAGCGGGCTGGCCGAGGGGGCCCTAGAGACCTGCCAGGTTCCACCTTGTGGCCGTTGGTGGGGGCAGCGATCCATCCGCCGGACCTTGTTGATGCCACTGACGCCACTGCGTGGCCACTCGTGGCGGCCACCCTTGAGGCCAACGCCCCAAAGCCCGGGGGTATGACAGCGGGGCGATGCGCTATGCGCCCGCTGGGGGTGGCCTCAACGGAGGACGGTGCGTCCGGACCTCCCCGGGGGGATCCAAAGAGGGAGGCCTAATAATAGTAGGCCGAGAGGTTCGGAGCCTCGCTCTTAGTCTCGGCCTGTCTTCATAATTTTGCTGTTAGTTATTAGTCGGCGTTAAGTAGTATTGACGTCCGGATATTAGGCCGAGAGGTTCGGAGCCTCGCTCTTAGTCTCGGCCTCAGTCCTGCCTGTCTTCATTTACTGTTAGTTAGTAGTCGGCGTTAAGTAGTATTGAAGTCCGGATAGTAGGCCGAGAGGTTCGGAGCCTCGCTCTTAGTCTCGGCCTTGTCCTGTCAAACTCCAGAGTCGAAGTCAGAATCAGTCCCAGTCGTATGTCGAAGCTATGCCTTAGCTAAGGAGTCGGAGTCGAATCGAATCCTTGGCCCGCTATCGCGACAGTCACAGTCCCCGGCATGCATGGGAGGCCGTTGGTTGCTGCTTTTTGCATTCCCGCGTTTAGTCTGTTTTTGCATCCGATCCCTTTTTCAGAAGTCAGTATTATTATTTCAACACAGAGGTTAAATCATGAGTGCTGTGTGGACTGTGTGGAATCCTTTGGTCACTTCTTGAGGTTTCATATCATGTCGAATCTGGGTCGATGTCCTTACCCACAGTGAAAGCTGTACACCGTTGGCCGGGTGTTGGGACTGATGTGCCAAGTTCCTGTTTCTGGCCAACCCACAGAACTTCTGTGGATGACAACAGAGCAAATGGGCTAATGCGTCTGTTGGGCAGGATCCTGTGCTCACCTGCAGCGACAACCAGGGGCCCCTCCCTCTGACTGTGTTTGGCAGTCATTGGCGGGGGCACGACACCGCCGTGCAGGGACAGCGCCAGTGCCCTGGTGCCCACTTGGGGTGTAAGGGCGAGGGTTGCACAGTGCCATCAGATTGCAGGGGAGGCCCTTGGGTCATTGGACCTGGATCCAATGACAATTATAATAATACTGTTACTACTACTCAGCAGACTCAGACTGTCACTGTGTAGTAGTATTAGGAGTGACTGCTGTAACGTTGACTGACTGCATGGTAATGGTCACGTCAATTTTCAATGTCAATCAATGAATGTTCAGTCACGACATATGACACGGTGTCTCTCACGAATTGACATTGATTGTCTTGTCAGTTATTATTACTCTTATTGTAATTACTATACAGATCTGATGTGGAATCGCTTATTATTATTATTATCATCACTTTGCAGACAGTGTCACTGTGGCTGTGTGGTTTTGTGGGAAGTTGAAATAAAATAAGATGATAAGACTAAGATCTATTATGACGTTGTCATTGTACGACGATTGACACTGAGAACCTAAGGCCGTAAGTTAAACCCTGTGAAGCAGAATCTAATCAGCAGCAGCCTTGACCTGACCTGTGCAGCGGGCTGGCCGAGGGGGCCCTAGAGACCTGCCAGGTTCCACCTTGTGGCCGTTGGTGGGGGCAGCGATCCATCCGCCGGAGCTTGTTGATGCCACTGACGCCACTGCGTGGCCACTCGTGGCGGCCACCCTTGAGGCCAACGCCCCAAAGCCCGGGGGTATGACAGCGGGGCGATGCGCTATGCGCCCGCTGGGGGTGGCCTCAACGGAGGACGGTGCGTCCGGACCTCCCCGGGGGGATCCAAAGAGGGAGGCCTAATAATGGATAGTAGGCCGAGAGGTTCGGAGCCTCGCTGTTAGTCTCGGCCTGTCTTCATAATTTTGCTGTTAGTTATTAGTCGGCGTCAAGTAGTATTGACGTCCGGATATTAGGCCGAGAGGTTCGGAGCCTCGCTCTTAGTCTCGGCCTCAGTCCTGCCTGTCTTCATTTGCTGTTAGTTAGTAGTCGGCGTTAAGTAGTATTGAAGTCCGGATAGTAGGCCGAGAGGTTCGGAGCCTCGCTCCTAGTCTCGGCCTCAATCCGGTGGTCCTGCCTGTCACTGTCTTCATTAGTCGGCGTTAAGTAGTATTGAAGTCTAGTCCGGATAGTAGGCCGAGAGGTTCGGAGCCTCGCTCTTAGTCTCGGCCTCAATCCTGCCTGTCTTCAATTTAAATTTATTGCTGTTAGTTAGTAGTCGGCGTTAAGTATGTCAGAATCAGAGCCAGTCGAAGCAGATTTAAATGCCTTACCTAAGGAGTCGACCCCTGCCCCATCAGGGTTGCTCCCCACACCGTTGGCCAGGTGTGAGGCGTTCGGTTTGCCTGTGTCAGAGCCTTGAGGCCAACCTATCCCAGGGGCAGGGGTTAGATGACAGCCGGGCACATGGGCTAATGCGCCGGCTGGGGCCTGACCTGGTGACATCGAAGCATTTTGCAAGTCACCGGAAGCAATACCGGACAAAGAAGGGAGGCCGTTCTTGGGACATGGCTGTGTTGTTAGGCCGGTTGAGTTTAGTATTATTAGTTATTCCTTGTATGTCAACTTCATTGCATTTCGCTTGCCATTGCTTGTGCTTGCTTTTGAACAGAGTAAAACCCAAAGCCTGCAACCTTCAAGCCGAGCAGTGCTGCAAATCTTCCATTGTTTTGTTCTCTGTCGTTGTGATGCATTGCTGCAGCAATTGCTCAAGCTGTATTTTGCAAAGCCATGATTCTGAATTGCCGTGATGTTGCTGCTGGCCTGGAGACCTCCCTGAAGCTTCATTATCCACACGAAGATATTTTGATTTTAGGTTTTGAGTTGTTCAACCTCGATGTGGTCTTGGGCTGCTTTCTGGAGTCGAACGCCGATTCTGATTGGCTGAGAGCTATGGCCAGTACATGTGTCCTCACAAAGTACTTCATCATGGGCTTGAAAGCTGACCAACGTCCGGAAGGTGGCCCTTTTCCTCGAACTCCTCTGGACCGGCTTGCTCCTCCAGTGCTGCGGGGGGCCAACCTTCTCCGAGAGGCCGCCGGAAGGCCTTTGGGTTCGCTCTTATTTCAAGCCCAGGAGTTCCTCGAGCATCACGCGGATGTCTTCCTCCACCAGAGCGCCTGGTTCAAACTCGCCTTTGAGATTCATGAAACTTTGAAGGATCTCGAATGGGTCCCTTCACCAAGCGAGGAGAGCTAGATTTTTAATGTGAAAGCAGGCGGATCCACGTCGTCCAGTAAGTTATGGAGACTAGGCCGAGAGGATCGGAGCCTCGCTCTTGTCTCGGCCGAAATCCTTCTTCTGGAAAGTAGGCTGAGAAGTTCGGAGCCTCGCTCTTGTCTCAGCCGAAATCCTTCTTCTGGAAACTAGGCTGAGAAGTTCGGAGCCTCGCTCTTGTCTCAGCCGAAATCCAAGTAAGTTAGACACACTCGATGCAACCACGATCCCATTGCTCACGAGCTTTCAAAAGGTGCGGCATGCAGAAAGCAGTATTAGTAGAGCATTAGTAGTAGTATTAGTATTAGTATTAGTATTAGTATTAGTATTAGTATTAGTATTAGTATTAGTATTGTATTAGTATTAGTATTAGTATTAGTATTAGTATTAGTATTAGTATTAGTATTAGTATTAGTATTAGTATTAGTATTAGTATTAGTATTAGTACTATTAGTATTAGTATTAGTATTAGTATTAGTATTAGTATTAGTATTAGTATTAGTAATTAGTATTAGTATTAGTATTAGTATTAGTATTAGTATTAGTATTAGTATTAGTATTAGTATTAGTATTAGTATTAGTATTAGTATTAGTATTCGTATTAGTATTAATATTAGTATTAGTAATAGTATTAGTATTAGTATTAATATTAGTATTAATATTAGTATTAGTATTAGTATGAGTAGTAGTATTAGTATTAGTATTAGTATTATATTAGTATTAATATGGATATTGGTATTGGTATTGGTATTGGCATTCGTATTAAAGTGATAGTATCAGTATCAGTATGAGTATTAGCATTAGCATTAGCATTAGTATTAGTATTAGTATTAGTATTAGTATTAGTATTTAGTATTAGTATTAGTATTAGTATTGGTATTGGTATTAGTATTAGTATTAGTATTAATATTAGTATTAGTATTAGTATTAGTATTAGTATTAGTATGAGTATGAGTATGAGTATGAGTATGAGTATGAGTATGAGTATTAGTATTAGTATTAGTATTATTCGTATTAGTAATAATGATTCATAGCAGTTGCAGGCCATTAGCTAGTAGTCATCATTTCGTTGACGACGTCAAGGTAGCAAGCATAGTAGTTAGTAGGCGGATGGGTTAATATATAATAAATAATTAAATGCACTACGACACATGAGCCTGCGGCCAGGCTGACTTTTCCCTTGACGTCGCTGAGAGGCAACGATAAAGTCGTCTGCCGATGCAGCTTATGAGACGCGGGAAACATTTGAGAATTCTCATGCCATTATTATGCTGGTCGAGCCTAAATAAAAGCGCGTGATGTGCTGCTGCAGCTCGAGCTGTCAGTGAGTGTGCGTTGCGGTGCTGTATTATTGCATGTAATGTCTGAGCAGGACCATCATTGATGATAGTAATATGACAGTAAATCTCGGTTTCATTTTGCAATGCTTCACGATTGCGGCCGGGCTCATCATTGGTCTCTGCGTGAGTGTAGACTGACAGTCAGTCTGTCATCGAGTGCCCAGCAAGCATGCCTGGCACGAAGAGAACGGCTCTGGGTCGACCTTCCTTGGGGGGGAGCTCGAATGCAAGCAAAAGTGGGAAGAACCCCAAGCGAGCGAAGTCGGACGCCAGTCTGGGAAGTGAGATGATCGTGAGCGACATTTCACCAAATGTGGAACGCTTGAGAACATGGTTGTTCCCTGGTTCAGGCAATTACAACATTCGACGCTGAATCCGTGTCTCCTTCTAATTGACAATGTATTTCTGACAGTGTTTTCAACGTGAGGTCTGACAAGCTGAGCTCCCATCGCTCTGTCGACCGCCTCCTGCAGGCTGAGTTGGCAAACCAGGTGGGGTCACGGAGCAGCCTGCTGCGTGTGGGAGCCAACTACTATTCGGACGCCGACAACACATGTCACTCGCAGGAGACTGTTTTGGAATTCCTGCGGTTCGTCGAGGAGAAGTTTCCACCTGAGGTGGGTGTGAATCTTGGCCCCAGGACTTTCTGTGTTCGAGTGCAGCAACCTGAATTGAATTGAAATTTGTTGTGCCATGATCTGGACAGCAGAGAAATGCTTTACAATCCCAAGTCTGCTGCCAAGGACATACTGCCAGACCGTGGATCGTGCAGGTCCCACATGTCTGAGGCCCTGGCAGCTGCCCTGGTCTCCGAATGCAGGCTTCAAGGGGTACGTGGAGCCCGTGCCCGGGACGTTTTGGAGCATGTTTACGTACTCTAAGGTAGCAGTCGGGTATTGCAGGGGGCCTGGCAAAGCCTTACAATCATGCATTTGGCTGAGGACTCCCTCTATCAGCTCCTGGAACTCGTGTACATCAACGGGCCAGCATCGATGCATTTAATTTGGGATTTGCTTTATGGATTGGATGTGCAGCCGGCGAGTGTTGAGACTGACTAGAAGCCAAGGTTCCAAACAGACCCAAGCCAGGGAGGAGTGGAGGCGTTGACCATCGCGCCACAACGACAAGACAGCGGTCTGAAGAATCAGTTCGTAATCGCGTCGGATGAGATTTCAAGCTCGGCTGCGGGCCTCCTGGACCCTCAGAAAATCATTTGTGCAAAGGGATGGACGCGATCCGTGTGTGGCATTCTCATGCTCCTGCTTTGCTTCCAAGACAGCGAGTTCTACAAGGACGGGGGGGAAATTAGTAAAAGAGGGCCAGGGGGGGGGTTAAAAATGGTAAAAGGAGGGCTCTGCGCGGTAACACATGAAACGTTGCGGTCATTTTCTTTTGTAGGACGGATGCATTGCCTTCATTTAATTTGTTAAGTCATGTCTTGTCCTGCACGGAGAGGAGATGCCAGAGCTCGTCCGGAGGAGCAAGTTCATTGCCGTTCATGTTCAGGGCTAGATAATAATAAGTGAATGCATGCAGAGACGATGCAGGACGTTTGCCACTGTGCACTGCGTGGTGATGCCCGGGAATTTGGACCCGGGCAGCCTCATCCTGAAGAACCGCAGTGCCACGGCAGTTAACGAAATGTGACGGCAGACTTAGCACAATTTGATTTCAGCATTGGGATCTGAATCATGCACATCCATGACAGGTGTGACCATGGCTTCGGCGATAAGGAAGAAGCCAAACTGCTTCAATTTGGTTCACCAGATCGTGCTGGTCAAGAAAATGAAGTGCGAGGACGTTGGGTCGTTGGAGGACTGGTTTCATGCGTTTGCTGACTTACAGACTGACTGCCATACCATTGGCCGTCTGAATCTGAGTCTTATTGTACCTTGTAACGCTTGGAGGCGTGGGAGCATGCGGCCAAAGAAGCGGAGGCGTACAGAATTGGAAGTCTTGAAAGCAAAGCCGCCCTGCAGCTGTTGACCGCCGTGGATGGCCCAGTCTTCGAGAAGCTGAGCGACATGGTGAGGACAGCCCATACTTGTGGAAACTAGGCCGAGAGGATCGGAGCCTCGCTCTTGTCTCGGCCGAAATCCAACGGCTTAGGACCTCAAAGTTCTCACGGAAACTAGGCCGAGAGGTTCGGAGCCTCGCTCTTGTCTCGGCCGAAATCCGACGGCTTAGGACCTTAAAGTTCTCACGGAAACTAGGCCGAGAGGTTCGGAGCCTCGCTCTTGTCTCGGCCGAAATCCAAGGGCCTTGGACCTGTAAGTCCATGTTCGTCGAGGACCTACGGGATGAACAAGATACTCAATCATGAGCCCATCGCTGACGGCCTTTTCAACAGAGATTACTGCGCGGCCAGCGGGCAGTTGAAGCCATGGGCTGATATCTTGAGCAATACACCGCAGTCCCTGGAGCTCACGCTGCACCGCATGGAGGAAGACTACAAGAACCTGCACGTGAAGATGCGCAAACCCTTTGCCTCAAAGGACGTGGAACCTCAGCGGCTACATAGTACAAAAAGCTCATCCTAGCCTGTTCTGGAAGTTTCAGTGTCGCGATACATTAGGCTTGTCGTCTGGCCTTGAAAATATCGCAGCTTGCGTCGCTGAGGAAGCCTGCTTGAAACGTTGCGCCCTGTTCCTGGCTGCTCTGGTACGTGCTCACGAGTACTTTCCGAAGGGCTTGATGGATCGCGAAACAGGAAATCTCACGAAATCGTTTCAGTTGCTGCAAGAAGACTGCTAGGTCTGCTTTGCTACGGGTTTGGCAAAGCTCAGTGGGTGCGTTTTTTTCTGGTCCTGGTTCACCCTGAGGTTCATGCTCCGACATTTGGATGCAGACCTGGAGAATTTGCTAGAGCAGTCGGTGCCGCCGGTGGACCTCAGCATGCTGGCCTGCTTCCGCGGCATGATGTTGAAGCTGAAGAAGGAGGCTTGCAAAGAGCGGCACGGTTCCCGTGGGAAATAAGTATTCTGATAATTTGCATATTATATTATTATTTGTCTGCTGTTCAGTGTTATTGTAAGTTGTTGCAGCTTTGTCCGTCTCACTGAAGATCAGCTGGCAATATTTAATTGCAGGCAATTTGAGATGTGTATCACTATTACCTCAATTCATTTATCATGTCAAACACGACGTTGCAACTACTTTGTGCTGCTGAGCCTGGGAATTTGTTGTAACGTGTTGAGAGGCCGAGGAAGAGCAACTTCTGGAGTCAGAAAAGCCGGGAGCCCACTGATTTATAGGACACCGTGCGACAATGACTAATGACAAAGCATTGGATGATTTGCCGAGGCTGGCGGCGCAGATGGCCGCTGCAACAGCTCAGCAAGCTGAAGCCAAGGTGGAGGATGATCTTGTGAAGCTGACCAGTTACTTTGAGGAGAAGAAAGCCTTGGCCAACAGACAGGCAAGCCGTGGTTCAGCAAGTCAAGGTCCCCAGAATGCAAACTGAGGACCTCTAATAAAAGCCATTCAAGCCCTCCAGCCGCAGGGCGGGCTCGATGTACGGTTTCTGGCTCAGCGGTACCAGAGAGGCACGAAGGAGGTCGAGAAGATCATGGAGGAGAAGCATGAGTACAGGTCTTTCCCAAGCGGCCTGCTGGAAGCCCATGCGCATCTTTTGCAACTCATCACGCGCTTGACAAGTACGCCACAGCACGAGGACACCGACCCGTTCCTGGGATGCTTAAGGTGCATGACATTCTGAGGCCCTGCTTGCGGCCTCTTTAAGGCTGACTGTCTGAGGCTCGTCATCTTCATTATCGACGTGACAGCGTGGCCGTTCCAGCGCACCTTGCTTTAACTTTGCACCTTGCTAATCCGTGAACCAGTTCTAAATTTTTGGTGCTGCCTAGTGGTGACATTAAATTTTCGGAGGCCCAATTGTGGTGGATGAAGCCGTGGACTTGGCAAAGAACATCAGCAATGGCAACGCCAATGCCGTGTTGTTCAGCCTGCTTCCCATGCAGCACAGCTCCGGGACCCAGCAGACCGTTACGAAGTGCAAACGGCAGATCGAGGACAAGGTGATGCAGCTACTTGGGTCATTATTTAAATGTGCCGCATCCCAAGGTCTTAGGGCATCGTATGGTCATGGATTGTGGTCGGACATTGAGTACTTATTATTAAATTAATTCATCACCTACAACTACTACTGAAGCTGCTTTGCTCGAGCAGTGGGTGGTGGCTAGGTCGGCACTGCTGGGCTGAGCATTGGGAGCGTGGCCACGCCCTTCGGGTCATGGCATGGCGCTCTGAGGCGTCCTCTGCGGGGCTGGTCGGGCAGGGCTTTCATTGACGATCCAGCACCGAGTGGGGGTCAAGGGCGACGGGCATGAGGAGGCAGCTGGGCATCATGGGAGTGCAATTTGCATTGAAATCAGCCCAAGCTCGGACGGTGCAGCTGATCATTCCATCTGAATGGCACCTCTTGCGCTCGTAAATCACTTTCGGCCTGGGTCTTAGAAGCTCAAGACTTAGACTGTGGTCAGATTCAGTTCTTGATGGCCACACACAGAGCGTGTAGCAAGCCAGGCAGCCGTGTTGCCAACAGGGTCTGCTTGGCTTGCGACGCACTTGTTATCTGGATCTATTGGAGGTTGAGCAAAACAGGTACAAGGACCTTCAGGTGCAATACGATGCATTGCAGGCCCTCTGCAGTTCTTCTTGCCCAACGAGCTGCCTTTTCTGCAGACCCCCGGAGTTCCAGAAGTCGCAGCACGGCTTTGTCTTGGCATTGGGCGTGTTTCCAGGCCACAGCAGAAGGACAGGGCATGGCCATGTCACGCCAGAAATTGAAACTCACGTCGCTGGTCGATGTTGTTGTCTGCAGCCCACATGGTGCAGCTCGGAAGAGAGAGAGATCGAGGCACAATGTCCCTCGATCTCCTTTTTCTTCTGGGCTACGCAATGTGCAAGCGGCAGGCCACTCCAATGGATTCTCACACTGAGTGTCACTGGGACTGGCAGCAACAGTGGAACATCGCTGCCGATGGACGTTGTTACTGCAACTGTACCAGTCCGCTACTCGCGAAGCCGGACTGGTTAGGAGAAACGTCATCATAATATGATGATGCTGCTCCTCACCAGTCCGGCTTCAACGCGACTGTTGCCGAGTGCATCTACACATCAAGAGCGACAGCGAGGACAAGCTTTGCCTTGCTGTCGCTCTTGATTTGTAGACACCACAGACAGATGGCAGCTGCTGTTAGTTAGTCGGCGTTAAGTATTGAAGTCCGGATAGTAGGCCGAGAGGTTCGGAGCCTCGCTCTTAGTCTTGGCCTCAATCCGAGGATTTTGCGCATGTCACAGCCTGCCGCCTCACTGTTTGCTAGCCAGGAAAAAACCACAGATCAGATATGGAAAGTAGGCTGAGGGGATCGGAGACTAGGACTGCGAGTGAGTATTGCGGCCACCGCGACCACTGACTATCAGCGGTATTACTGGTTACTACTACTACTACTACTACTACTACTACTACTACTACTACTACTACTACTACTGCTTCTACTGCTTCTACTGCTTCTACTGCTACTACCACTACTATAATTACTCTGATTCTGCGAATGTTGTACACTGTACAGCAACCATCCCGTCATTTGTTATGTTTCTGTAACAAGTGTCAAGCTAAGCGCCCATTGTCATCTGTGCCAAGGACAATGGATGTCTATGAAGGGAGCTTGGGTTTCAGAGACTCAGGGCACGGGAATGACCGTCGCAGACGATCCCAGACCTGCCATTGCCCGAGACAGCTTGAAATTTGCTCCTTGCGTGCGGGTCTTATGTTTTTGAACTTTGTGCACTGCGTGCCAAGGCATCCTCAGTGTGAGCACCATTCACCGGAGCTTCGCATTCCAGAGAAGCAAAGCCATGCTCGGAGCTCTCGGCCCGGTTTCCCGGGCACGTGTTTGTGACCTCTGGGGGGACGAGGACAACAGGACTACGCCACTCCAAAGAGTGCCTGGCACTGGAGAGAAAACTATGTATGACAGTCAGCGTCGCCAAGCCATTTAAAGTTTTCACCAAGCATGATCGTGTAAGTTTAAGGTCCAACAAAGAGGAGTTCGGGGAACGAGGGAGACTTTGATGGGACTGCTGGAGAACATGTCCGTGCCGTCAGGGAAGCCAGTCATTGTGGCCGACTTGGTTCCCAACCAGATTCTGGACCTAAAATCATTCAGTGAGTGAGCTTTCATCTACTATAATATTACTATTATGATTCATGTTACTTATTGGGTTATGATTGTGATGGGGTGGTTGGTGTGGTGGTGTTTCTGTTCTGAGTCTTTTTCTGGACTAAGTGTGACTCACTGAAGAATTATTCAATGGGTCAGTCAGTCAATTTGAATTTTGACACATTGTGGATGCATTTGCTCCAGGTTCAATGAATGGGGACGTGCAATTGCCGAAATGCAGATTGAGAAGTTCGACAATCCGACAAGTTGCTACAACTGGCACTTCGTCAGCTACCCTCATCCAGATGACTTGGATGCAACAGCTTTGCAGCAGCACATTGCTGGTGTCTTCATGAATGTGTGGTCCTCGGTCTTACTCTTCCGTGAATGAGTTTGACCGACAGATGATGACTCAATCCCTGACCTCGTCGCAGGACTGGTGGGATACTTCAAGTCAAGCTGGCCCTAAAGTTCGTCCACAGTCTGACACCGAACGCCTTGTCGTGCCAAGCTTGGAAGTCTTGTCGCTGGACACAGACTTCAAGGTGACGACACTTGCCTCATGATAATTGATTGAGTCGTCTGTCCTTGGTTTGAGAATAATAGAGCTCGTCGCTTCCTCATGGCAGTGAAGGTTGCCGGAATCGGTGAAGTCAGCACTGGGCACCAGCAAATCCGAGTCTTTGCAGAAGAAGGTGAATGCCCTGAATCTGCAGTCGACTCCTCTGGGAAGCAGTACTCCCGCAGCCGTCTCTGGAGCAGGGGCAGGGCAAGCTGAAGGGAGGACGGGCAACAGGAATGTTGCCAGAACGCTTTGCCGCCCAGAGTTCAGCCCCGGAGCTACCCCCCCGGATCTTCTCCGAACCCTGGTATTGGACATGATGTCAGTTGGCGAGCTCGAGGAAAAGTTACAGCGCCTACACAAACAAGAAGCTACGTTTGATTTTTCGGTTAGAGCACAGTGGCGGGAAGTCTGCAGCCTTCGACACTGCATTGAGGTCCTTCGTCCAGGCTCCCGCATCATCTTGCGACAAGATTGATGTCTTTATCGAGACTGGCACCGAGCCAGGAATTTACCTTGGCAACACGAGCGAAAGCGAGACTGTGACGATGGAAGCCGGGGAGTTGTGCGGTTTCAACCTTGGAAGCTTCGTGGAGAGAGCGCAAGGCGCGGCATGGAGTCTCCCTGTGAGTGAGTTTCACTGTCTTTGTGTGACCGTGACAGGCCCGCTTGAACATATTCCTGCCATGCAACAGACTATAATAGTTAGTAAAGTTTCATGTTTAATGAATAAATCGGAGGCATGGCACGGAACAACAAGGACAAGCACTTGCCGTTTATGTTGGAGAATGAT